TTTTTAAAAATTTAGAACTTTTGTTACTGGGGTATTCTTTTCTTCTAAATAATTCAAACGTATTAGAAACATGGAGAAAAAACCCACTCGGTGACGCGGAATGGACTCTAACATATTACTAATATAGTACCTCTAGTATTAGTAACTGTTATTGGTTTTAAACGCTTATGTTTAACTCTTAGTGCTTCTGTATGCGTTGTGTTACCTATGCAAGCACGCCGGTTCATACATGCTACTGCATAGCATGTTCCCATCGCTTTATACTGTCCCCAATTAATTGTACTGTATTGTACAAGGCGCCAACTCGACTATTGGCAATAATCGCGCCAACACTGCAGGTTCTATGCAGGATTTCTTGCTAACAGGGCAAGTCGTAAAGGCCCTATTGGTCCCCCTGGAATTATGGCGTTTCTATAGATTGCATGAGATTTTGGAGATGATAATAACTGAAATTCTTTCTACATAACTTTATTGCACAACAATTGTACAGGTACGTATATACAAATTACGACATCTACTGGTGCAAATCTATAAGGCTAACCTCCCTAAGACAAGAATGTATGGGATGGGAATGAGCTTCTACAATCATTGGGGAGATTTCAAACGTCTAGACATTCTTTCTAACATTATGAACCTTTTATATAATTCAATGTAATTTCTATCAATAAAAAAACATACTCTTATGTGGTGACCAAAATCCAAGATGACGGACCATATCATTAGCTTAGGCGTATCCAAGTTATGTTCCTTATAATTTCATCATTTCTTCGTATTTGTTTTACATAAAACGTTCATATAAACGTCCTTAGTCCATTTTCATTGTACTTGCAGGCTGTATCTTGAAAAAAAGAAGTATTTTCGAAAATTCAAGATTGACGATCCAAGATGGCGGATAGCTAGCTTAGATGTGCATGACGTCATGTCATGACGTCAGTTTGACGCCAGTGAGGTTTCAAGGGGCAACATTAGTTTTTTATCACACTTTTTGTTAAAGTTTAGTTGTATACCTTTGAATTTAACGGAAATAACCTATTTAGAGGTGATAATTAAAATCGCATAATGATAATGACGTCATGATAACACCATTTTCTGAAAATTTGGTGGAAATACGCTAAATCGAAAAAGTTTTTTTCTGATGACTACATGTAAAGCGATTGGTTGTGTTTCCCTAGTATGTAACTCCGCTGTGACTTCCTATGATTGATATCTTTATTATAAGTCTCCCATCCCGGTGGAATCATCTCTGTTGAAAGGTTGTCTGGAGTACAGAGTCTGACGCAGGGGAAGCTAGATCTATCGCCTTACCGACAACGTAAAGCCTAATTTACTTTCCAAAGGTTAGGACATTTAGATAACGGCACCGGGGGCAGTTTGGACGGGAAAAATAAAATCAATGTAACGATTTTCACATTGACAGATAGTTTGCAGTCCAATCATATCATAAAAAGCGAGGACGCTTGCAGTATTTTTGATGTCACATATATCGGGAAAGGTGTATAAAATAGAAACGCAGTATGGGGAAATCTTGAAACGTATTGTGTTATTTTTTTTACGATTTGCCCGATAGAAATTCTGGTCAAGTTCGAATATCAATGTTTTTGGCTGTCGGCCATACGCGGAATTATCTACAAGGACAAATCATCTGAATCCTACATGTCTAAATGCTAATCTAAACATGGATGAACCACGAACTGGGGGCTCATTTGTGCGATGATTAGAACAGGTCTAATTTGAGTGCTGATAAGAATGTAAATAGAACTAGGCTATCGCTTCCTCCCCTGGTATTTCACTACCTAATTTGCGGAACTGCCGAACAAAAGCACGGTAATGACTGTACATAGAGTGAATATGGCACGGGGGGTCAAGCGTCATGACCTGCAATGTCTATAGGACGTCGTTAACGTTAAAACACAGAGCTGATTAAAAGCATATTTTTTTTATGCTGTGGCGTTCTTTTAAAGGCATCCAGTGCGATTTCAGGGCAGCAAAACTGGAAATATCCTGAACAAGGCAATCTTTGCTAAATAGACGCATACTGCTTCATATTAGCACATTTGAGTCAGCACTTTGGGTATTTAAAACTGCAGAAACAAGCCCCAGGAGTAGTCTTTTATTTTCTGGGTGGTACGCTACAATCAGCCCATGGCCCTTCCAGTAACCATTTTCCGTCGGAATTTTGGGAATTTTTGCTCCATGAGGGTCAATATACATTAGGATAGTGTTGTTTCAACTCAGTATGTAGATATCATGACTAGAATATTGGCTTTGAAAAATCGGGTTTCCAAGCCCTAAAAACTGCATTGGATGCCTGTAAGACGATGAATAGAATAATTATTAAAAAAATACTTATTAAAAGTAAGTCAATTCCTTTGTCCTATGTCGACGTATACGTATTTAAAATTGCACTATAGACATACGATTAATCATACTAGTAATTCTTCGACCAAAAAGACCATTATAGAACTGTGGTTTATTCCTTTGTGTCCTATTATACAGAAGGGGATTTTCCTTCGGTGTGTTTTACGTAAAATGCCATCAAACTGACTTTCAAATGTCCTGAATCGATTTGGATCTCGTCTCAAAGGGGCTGGGCCGTGACAGAGATGGAAAGTTGGGTCATCAGTTGAGAGGAATGAAGATGAGACGAGATGAATAGGAAACAAGGGAAAACAAGAGTTCGGAAACTCATGACTTCGAGAAATATTTAGAGTTTTGATACAAGATTGAATGAGTAATGAATTCCACCACCTTTGAACTCTATTTCATATTGTGTCATTCCTGTCTTGCTATCTGTGGTTACAGTTCTATCATTTCTGCACTATAGTCCTTGTTACGCACTTCTGAGGTTACCCCCTTCCCCATTAAATACGGACACACATGCACACGCACACACAGAAAAACCAATTGTGCTCATTGGTAAACACAAAGCAATCACAGCAGAAACTGCAAAAGTTGCCATGAAATTTGTTGTGAGGTTACAGCACTAATTCTTTCAAGTAGCAATATCATTTCAAAAAACAGTCACGCAGTTTCATAACCTTGTACATGAACTGGTTTTTGTGAGAGCAAATTGGTTGGAGATGTACAATGCACAGTGTACATCCGGTACTGATGTTTAGGCAGATATCTATACCTGTACGGTACCAGAAAAATGTACCGGTAAAAAGTATGCGTGCTAACTTACACGGATAGAGACGTAGCATGAACAGGGACTGGAGCTAAACGGTTCTTGTGTATAGTGTAGCCACAATCCACATCAAATCTACAGTGCAATTCATAAGCATATTTTCCCAGAAGTGTAGTTTGCTTCACGTCCGTCAGATTTAAAATGCAGCCAATCTTCCGCTCGGTCTAAAATAAACCCCGCCGTACGTCTCGGTAGAGACTTATCAGCGCGGATATGGCGGGGTTTTTCCGCGACCTTTGATGACACGGTGCCCGGGTAGGTTCCCATCCGCAGATCTGTAATAGCTGCCGCCGTGATTGGGGAAACGGCCGCGGGGCCGGCTTTAATGATACCGACATGCCGTCGGGTCAGAGTTACACTCCCGTCTCTCTGCTGGAGAAGTTGATATGAAGTCCCAGAGTGAGATAAGGAATGGTGATGAAAATTTATGAGGGGGGAAGGAGGCTTAACAACGGATGCTGCTTCAGTGTTTCAACAAGGCCTGCGTGTTTTGGCTTCATGTGCGGAGCTTTTGTTCAGAATGCGGCATATCAACATCGTATGTACGATGTCCTACGGTGAATGTGACCGAGTCGTTGGCTATGACCTTGCCGCCCGTTCCGGTCCAGTCGCCGGCCCTGCCTTAAGCTGTTTCACGGGTATTACACACTCAATATGCGGGGTACTCACTCAATCACGCCCGCTGCTCTATAGCCGTAAGTAGAATGTATCCCTGTACAGCTATTGGTATCAGCGGCAAAGCGCCATATCTGCGGTATGAAGCAACCTGAAGGACAAATTCAGAGTAAATAACTGGTCTGCAGAATTCCGATAGCAGCTTCTAATAGATTTGAGATTGCCTCAGGAGTCAGGACTGTTGAGACTAACCTGTGAGGGGATCACAAATCGAGAAGCACGTGTTCTGTAAATTTAAGTTCCAGTACATAATTTCTGTACTTCACCATGTCTGCATTTGCATTGGCAAAGCCGGTATAACATAACTAAGCTTTCTAGTGATGATGCCCCAACTGTGCCTGGAGGCAACGAGTTCTACTCTACGATAGTTCTTGGAAAATACGAGTTTTTGAACGTCTCAATTCTTGGTTGATAACTCTGATATTTGAAGGTATGACTGTTTGTTGTTCTTTTCTGGGCTGGTATATGCCCATGTGCACTAAATAAATATGGAGTTTAGGCATAAATATTGCATAGCTAATTGTATGTAGAGATATTACCAATGATAAGGACAAGACAGCCAACCTCTATCAAGCATTGTCAACCTACATGTATCTCTTTTAATACACAAATTCGTGGGTTCTGTGTAATTTGTTACAAAACTACTAACTGTTACTGGATGCTGTTGAGAGCTACCCCCCCCCCCCCGAGTTTTCCTAGCAAAAATGATATTAAGTCATTTACAGCTGGCAACAGTTCGGACTACAAAGTCCTGTGGAATAGCATTTAATATGTACATGTACAGTTGTACAGATACCACTCAAGTGGGTACAAGCACTGCAGCAAGGGAAGTGGGCTGTGAGTAGAGACATACATGTACATTGTACATGTATGATATGATGGTAGTGGGAATTTTTAATGTATCAAGGAGCTCCACTTCGTTTTTTTTCTGTGTGTTCCATTCTCCCACGGCAGAGCTATCCCGCGGCAAATACGTTACTTAGCCTTGTACTAGTAAGGAAGCAACCCTGCCTTGGGAGGATGGTGTGCCCTTGGTAGACTTTTGATAGACATACTGTAATCTTTCTTTCTATAGTTACACAAACAGCTAAAACATTACTTCTCGGAATAATAAAACAGCTCAAAAAGTTGTGTACATCTTTGTCCCGTGGCATATTAAAAATATATCAGGAGGAAAGCAGGATGTATCTTAGGTAGTTGTGCCACGGCAAGTGCAGAGTCATCCAAAGCTCTCAGGTATAAACTTGCTGGTGTGTCCATGGTTAAGGCTTGTGGAAATTCTTTGGTAGCAACAGCATAGGAGGCAAGCTTGCTGGATACCAGCACTTAATGTTCAGAGAAAATACAGCAGAGCATAGAAACATCTGCCCTGCTTTTGTTTGTTTATTTGTTTGTTTGTTTACAGATGTCATCTGACGGTCATGATGCTGCGAACGTCCATGACGAAAGTCTGCAGTCTGGCCTGGAACCTGCCGCGGTGAGTTTTCTCCATGTTCAGTGGAACGTCGGGTGGGGTGAGGCGTTGAAACGCCGCTGCCAGGCGCTCAGCCGTGGATATATCCGTCTGTGATCCCACAAGCTGATGGACAAGTTGTGCATACTGCCCCTGAAGAGTGGTACCACATTAGTACCACATTCAAGAAAGGACGATTTAAGTGGTACCGTCCCAAAAACTACATGTAGGTTTGACAGCAGATTATCTTTGACAGCAAAACAAGATTTCTGCTCATACTAATAATAACTGAAATGGTTTGTGGTATACAATGTACATGAAATCTGTTGCAAGATATTTGAGATGTCAAATGCAGTAGATAGCGCTCACAGTGAAATTATTGCATTACCTTTGATATTTGAATAAAAATCTATTGAAAACTGCATGCTAAGTTAGTGACAGCATACAATGGAAGCAAGCATAAACTAACAAGGATGGTACGGAGACTACAAAGCTGAAAACAATAACTTTGAAAACAATTATATCATTGTGAATATGGTACAAACCTGGTGACAGCATATAAGTGCATAGAAGGTCTCTCCGAGGACATCCAAAAGGTCAGGGTTCAAAGGTTGTAGCACCAGCATGTCTAGGACCACCTAGAAGGTGGGAGGGGGGCAGGAGAAACATGTACATTACAATGTGACATTACTCACAAAAAAAGGTGCAAGTAAAATTCTTGATATGATTACTAAGATTTACAGAAAGGATAAACTAAAGCATTTGCCAACCATTTGGGAGTACCGTAAGTCAGCAGATAGAAGACTATTTTGACTAAAAAGTAGACAGTTTAACAAATGATCACCTGGACAAAATGCTGTAAGGCTTGGTAAGCCTGTCCTACTGTGGTCCCAGACTTCACACACTCGATGGCCAGGCACTCCAGCGTGTCCAGACACAGCTTCTGTACATCCTCACCATAGTCACTGGGAGCAGTTAAAGCACACAACCTTCTGTAGCTGGGACTAACCTGGATGATTACGATGTATTGATGCCACCTTTTGAGAGTGTCACTTCCACACATCTCCAACTAAGATATGCCTGATATAAAATATGCTGACAATCCCTTCTAGTCAACCTTTTCAGACAAATTAAAAAAAAAAACTTGTCTCTAACTTCATGTAAAAATATTCACCTACTTGAATCAAAAGAAAATTTACGAAAAGTTCAATTATTTCAGTGATCTAACTTCTGTCGTCAAAACGTAGACACCAAAATTAAGACTCCTAAAATTAATGTCTGTCAGAAAATAGCACTCCTTTCTGGACTTTAGGACACCTTGAAAGAAGAATGATAGTAAGATCTACTTCTTTAACTATACCCTCTTTTACTTTTAGACTAGACTCTAGGTAATCTGTAAACCTTGAGACTACAGTAGAGGATACGAGGACAGTCCCAGCTGAAGTGAAGCCATGATGTTGGAGAACAGTTGCTGGGGCAGCTGGGGGATTCTGTCTGGGTAAACCTCACACAGGAATGACACCAGCTTAAAGTACTGCAGGCACAGGCTGGGGAACTATAGAGGACAACAGTCAATTAAATACACACATAATTACACACGCACAGGCATATATAGACATAAACATGCATGCACATACATGTAGTTACACACAATGTCATACAATCTATACTATCAGAAACTAACACAGGTACACACAAACTCTCATACATACAATAGGCATAACATTGTAACACATGCACACACACACGCACATGCACACACACACACACACACACACACACGTGCACACACATACACAGGCCCCACACACGCACTTGGACTAGGTTCTTCTAAGACGTTATCCCCACCTTGAGTAGTTCAGCATTCATGAGTGGGACAACAAAGTCTAGTCCACAGAACACCACATCAGAAGGAGCAACAGTCGGCTCTCCTGCACCACCGTTATCTGTAGTAAACACAGGTAACATCATCGCAAAGGTAGGGAGTGGGAAAATGGCGGCAGCCAATATTTCGACACTAGGTGCTAGCCGAAACGGCTGGTGTAGGAAATCACTTTTCAGACATACATGTGTTTACCATGCATGATATTTCATCACACCTCTTGTTCCCCTTTAAGAACCCAATTCCTAGTAGAAGACTGAAGTCTGCAAGTCAGATCCAATCTGTCTTAGGAGAATCTGGAATTGTCCTAGATCAGATTGGAATTCCCATCTCTCCTATATTGCCTTGGATTCCAATCTCCCCTTTTGACATTTACATTTGTAAATAACTGTACCTGTGGACCCAAAGTCTACAAAGTCCTTGTTGATGAGCTGAGTCAACATCTCCAGTAGCAGCATCAGGTCGTTAAAGTCGTCCTCCTCAGCGCTGGCGTCGATGGTGACGCCGTGTCGGCCGTGGTGCCGGGCGTAGTTACGGATCAGCTGTATCGTGACCTCGTACAACTTCAGCGAGTCTTCCTGCTCAAACATGGTGGCAAAGGTCAAAGGTTACATGTCAGTCAGAAGTTTACATGAAGTTCAAGGTCATATGAAATGTAGTCACCACTCAATGTCACGTTGCCAATACTTTTCATTTTTCTAATTCACAAATAAAATAGACTGTGAAGAAATAAAACACCTCTTTCTGGAGATGAGTTCCCTTAAATCTCAAAGCAGTTTTAATGCCTTCAGTATAACAGTAAGACTTTAAAATCAATAACTGGACAAAAGTGGGCACATTACAACATTGCTTCTTGAATTATTATGATCTTCTCACAAGATTAAATGTTTATTATATAAACTTTATATTTTATCAGACATCATCTATAGGCATGTAACAAAAAAAGAAAGGATTCAATAAACTAAAGAATGCACGTAATTTGCAAAAAAATTTGAATTCATTCAAGAATCTGAGTTAGATATCCAACAGTACCTGACTGAGGTAGCAAAGTTGTCTTGTGATAGTTTCCTTGAAGGCATCTAAGACGAGCACAACAATCTCAGGATAGTTGTGGAAGGTGTCCAGCAGACTGACACTGTCCCTCAGACGAGGGTAGATAGTTGAGAACACCAGCGACGTGTTGTCTACACGTGAGGCCTCGGCCACACCACACAGGAGTTCTAACAAGTTCCTGGCCTCCCTCAGACTGTCATGCCCTCCCGACCCTCTCCTCTGGACCATGGCTTGGAAACGGTCATGTAGCGGCTGCATCGTCTGCCACAAGAGGTAAATAAAAAAAGGAAACAAGATGTTATACCCCTCCTCCATTTTGTGAATTTCTTTTTTCATTCATTATTCATTTATTGTGAATTTCTTGCTGATTCGGCTACTATTTTTACACATTTTCTTGTGCTTCCATAGATATGCAATAAATAGCAGAAAATTGAATACAGGAAATGAGATAACCCTTTTTGGGACCTTTGACCTAACTTCCTGTCAGTGTCCCGACATGACTTACAAATGTAGGTGGTAATAACTACTACATGGGGTATTACATTGAAAACAGTGAAATACACAAAGGTAATTAGATATAGTAGTATTCTAGGGCATTTGTACTCATATGGCTGACAAAAGTGTTGTCTGAGATGCTGGATGTGTAAATCTGGAATAAATAATGAAATATTCAATCTATCATACAAAGCACTGAATTCTACCCACCTGTGTCCAGTACCGTGCGCTGACCTCAGACGACATGGCGGACGCCGCGAAGAGTACGGCCTTCATCAGGTGTCTCCGACAGTTGGCCGCCAAGAGAACGAACGGCTCGCTAAACTGCTGCATGGCCAGAAACCACAGCTTCTCACACTTCACCACTTCTAAACATCTGCACAGACGAAAGGTGAAAAGTACTGTCAAACAGGGCTCCCTCTGTCAACTGGTGACTGTACTGCAGGTAAGTATTACATAGGAGTTGGTAGGTTTTTCACTAATTGTTAAATATGCATGTAGGTTTAACATTATCTTTGCACCTGTAGCTTTTTGACAACATTAAGAAGGTTAAAAAGTTACACCACTGGGGTTTAATTATAAATATAATGTTTATCTGATTGAAATAGGATAGAAAGGCCGACATCTGCTTTGGAGCAAATGCAGCAAATGTCTTCACCAAATCCCCCGTACCAAAAATGGCCCTGTCCCCCTCCCACACAAATGGATTTTTTCTAAATCACCCCAGCCTGTGTTCCAACAGTCTATACTCCCATGCAGCAATGGAATGTTCCAATGCCTTCTGCTGTTGGAACATGTTGAATCCATTTAAACAAATGGCAGGAGTTGGAGGAGGAAAAGAAGAAACATGAGAGAAAACAATGTTTCCATCAAGCCATAAATAGAAGAAACATTTGTAAACCGTGTCCTACCTGTCTCTGTTCTCAGTAAGAGTGAGAAACAGCTGAACTGTGTCCTCTGTCACCTCTCCCTCTGATGTCCACATCTGGAAGTTGCTGACCACCTTGTTGACCAGCGTCTGAACGGCCAGACTGGCCGAGTCGGAACCTTGACCAAAGGCACAGGTCAAAGGCAGACTGACCTAGAGGGATGAAACATGGAAAGTTGAAGGTGATGATCAGCATGCTTGAGGTGTGGCTCTTCTTAAAAATGGGACCTCCGGCTTTACATCCCACCAGAGAAGACATCCCTTACTGAAGCTAGGGAGTAAGTGTACACGTATGCCTTTTTCAGTTCAGTTCAATTTGAACCCAGGTACTTTACATTCAAGTCCCACTCCGAGCCCTAGCAACAAGACCACCTTACCACCATGAGGATTAACTGTATTCTAAAGAAGTCTGTATATTAAGTGTATACCTCCCCAGGAAACATTGAAAAATGCTGTCAGGCAATATGTATTTCCTGGCTAAAGAAATAAACAAACAAACATTACCTGTGGGTAGTGTTTCTCCTGCATGAGTAGGTAAGGTCCTGCCCAGCGCTGGAAGAACCAGACGATATCCCTGCTCAGCTCTGGGCTCAGGAGAGGCTCCAACTGGGCCTGCACGGCGTAACGCTCCAACTCACTCAACATAAACACCTTACACACCAGTCTGCAGTAAACAACAACAAACAATGAAATGGGTCAAGTTTGTTCTTTGGGGAAATTATGGCTTCACCACATCTTAATAGAACACTGGTTCTACCATGGTTCTACATGTTCCAACAGCAGAAGGCGTTGGAAGATTCCATTGCTGCATGTGGGCATAGACTTTTGGAACACTTCACATTTTGGACAGTGGTGATTTAGGAACAATCCATTTGTGCAGGAGGGGGATAGGTCAATTTTTGGTATAGGGGATGTGGTGAAGCCACTTGCTGCATTTGCTCCAGAGCAAATGTCAGCCTTTCTAGTTTGTTTTAAGTTGTGGTTAAAAACAAACTTCTACTAAGTGAACACAACAACATGTATGTGGTACAGTTCATAGAACACCAGGTTAACTGAAGGAGGATTCAATTCTATGGGAACATATTACACTTAGTTGCAGAATCTTACACTGAAGGACAATCATATTTCACTAATCTGCAATTTTCAGGACACAGTTTGCATCTATCAAACTTCAAAGTAAAAGATCCACAGAGCATGTTGTAATAGTTATATTAATATACATGCATGTTGATACTAAAATAAACTCTTACCGGACTATATCATCACACTTGTCATTAGTGGGTTGGGACATCCTATCTAATTGTAGGGAGCACACCATTTCAGACTGAGTGGCTCCTACTTCAGACACCCCCATTTGAGACTGGGAGATGGAATGGTCCATCAGTTCTGGAGGAATGACTGGAACCTCGCCTTCTGATTGGTCAGCGAGAAGGTGGCCTGAAATCACAGTACACCAATCAGCATTATTGTACTAAAAAGTCATTCAGACTAGGGTAAAATTACATTTACATGGAAACTGCTTGCTAAGTATTAAACATTTGCTTTTAAAATTATCATGGAAGTTCATCTGTTTACGGTACATAGTAATTATAATACGATGGTAAACTTTATTCCAACACATTTAGGGTTTACATCCAGATTGGTCATTAATTATCCTGAAAAAGGTGACAGTGGTCGTTGAACATTTGATCCTTGCGTACCCTTTGTGTTGGAATAAAGTTTAGCGTCAGTCGTACTACCAAAAGTATAGTCAATCAACCACAAGCATCAAGGGGGATGCAGGGAGTGGCTGTAGCCGCATGTCCCTCCAGGATGTTCTGTTTTCGGCCAGAGTTCTCCATTTGAAAGTTTAATTCATTAACAAAACGTTACAAAATTTGTTCTTTGTTGATAAATTTTGTTGAGAGATCTGTGAAATACTTGTTTTCTCGGCAGACCCTCGGTAGTTGCAGCCTGTAGTGAAAAATGACTGTTACCTGCTATGAGCAGTAGCCAGTGTAGATCATCATACAGTCTGTACAGCCTGGTCATCTGCTCCTGTGTACCTGCTGAGTCCTTCAACTCTACCTGCAGCTGGGAGATCTTCTCACACAGCAGGCTGCAGGGAGGAGGACAGTATAGTAGACTTTTTAAGTGTATTTAGTGTATTTAACTACCATGGAAATGCTGCCTAAGAAAATCTATATAAACCACAGAAGTATGCTGCCACATTGGTAGGTTGTATAACTTTCCAAATGCTAGAAATTTGACCATTGACAGTTTAAGAAGCACATTTTCAACCCCATTACTATTGTGCATAGTGTTTGTAAGGTGTAGATTAGTCTTGTAGTATGCTTGCTAAAAAGCAGTAGATGCCAAACTTTGTATTTTGTAACAACAAATAAAGTCTATACCGTGTAAGTTGTGAGAGTGCGTGAGATGGCACCATCCTTCCCAGCAGCCCCACACAGCACAGCTGGGCCGAGTAACGCTCGCGGTCGTCCTCGTCTTCGCTTCGGATTTCCTCCATATCATCTGAGGACACCGCCTGTCCAACCACAACACAAGACTTCTGTTTCCTGACTTCCATTAATACATGTAGTTTCATCAGGTTGGTAAGTTACTGAGTAAAGAGCCTCGTTTTACACAACCAAGTCTTTTATTAAGCCGATGTTTCGGTGACTGTCTGTCACCTTCCTCATTGTAATTCTGACTGGTTCACATGGCACTGCAGCACAGGTGTCGCTGCTATATATATATATGTGGATAAACAAAGATGACAAGACTTCTTATAAAGAAGTGCATTACCTGGTCTGCAGTACCATCGGCTGTTGCCAGGTGACTCTGTAGGTATGTTTGGAAGATGTCGGGTGCATAGCTTTGGCAGAGCTGTGCTGCAGGTGGGAAGCTGTCCCTGCTGTCCCACAGTACTGTCCACATCTGCAGCAGCTGTTCCAGACCCTCGTCATACAGACTCTCCTCTTCAGCTGCCTGTAGAGGACAAAAATGAAGGACTGTCTCTCACCATGGTAACCAAACTGGTGTTGGGTTATATAATGTTGCAATTTTATAGTAGGAGGGATGTAGACTCCTGTCACCATATATATGAATGTGTTTGAGTAAGAATTAACAGAGCAGACCATATGCGAAGGTAAACATTATGCAATTGCTTTGTAAATGTTACCTTCTAGTTTACAATAAAGTTTGTCAAGTGTAACAAACAAACAAACAAATGAACAAACAAACAGACAGACCTTCTGGTGCATGGCAAGGTAAGAGTAAGAGCAGGTGAGTTGGCAGGCCCTGGTGAGGAAGGCCTGTAGCTGGTCAGAGGGAACCTGTCCTAGACACTTTCTGGGTAACACAGTCAGGAGGCGACAGGCCAGGGTAGCCACACCCAGGACCTCATACTCTGCTAGGGAGTTCCTGTAGATACAAGCAATATGGAGATAAACATCAATGTTACACTTACAGTAGCATGTGTAGCTGTGTTCTAGCCAGCAATTGTCTTTCTGTTATTAGACGAAACTTTATTGTTCATGGCGGACAAAATTTTGTCCAGTCCGTCACCTTTGAAACCGATCGGCAACGATATGGAAAGAGATGTCATTAAACTAAGCTCAGTTTACCAGCAAAATTTGCCACTCAAAATGCAGGAAATAGTGTTTCAGAACCCTTGGACCTCTGGTGCAACACCTTTGACACTCAACATGATGTTATGTCCAACAAAATTGAGATGAGGGAAAAATACTTCAGGCTTGCTAGAACACTGATGTGTATTCCAGTGCCTCTGCAATATTGGACCCAGGGGTTGTGAGTTCAAATTCTAGGTCTTGTCACTGACACCAAATAATTCAATAATAGCTATAAATGATTAAGGCACAGGTATGAAGTACACAGCCCTACAGCCCTAAAGTTCTGTCATTGCTAGTCTCCTACCTCTGAGTAAGATGTAGAAAGCCAGCCATGAAGGGAATGAGGAAGTCTGTGTGAGTCTTGTGGTCAGGGAAGATGTCACCAGTGGTGGACACCAGCTGCAGCAGACACTGCAGACACACATGGGCCAGCTCTGCATGGTTCTGCACATGTCTGTACAGCTGCAGGATATACAGAAATACAAATTTTATGTAATATTCATTATGAATGTTCCCATTTATTGTGATACATTCCATTCAATCTTAATCTAAACAGCTAACAGACATTCTGAGTCTGAATTGCACTGTTCTGACAAAATGGTTGGTGAACGTCTTCAACTAATCCACTGCTTTATTATCCACTAAAAGATTACAAATGATCAAATCTATGATAGACACAATTAAAACAATTTTTACAAAAACAAATTCATCAATATTACACTACATTATAAGTTCATTACAAAATAATAAGAGATGTCTGTGCTGTGCATATAGATCATACCTCATACAATATACGGTAGACAAAACTGAGAAGATGTAATGTATTGAATAATTAAATTAGTGTTGGACAGATCAACTAGGTAAGGTATTGTTGAGTTCTTGTAATAAGCAGTCCGGGAACATGGCACATCAAATTTGTCTGAGTTACATTACTACTGTAACAGTTGTTTCACTAGAGAATTTAAAACACCATGAACCCCTCTTTTATCCTCCTACTGCAACATTCCATCCACACAAACATAAGTTAATCTACAGTAAGTGTTAACTCCTGACCTTGAAGAGGTGTATGACCAGGCCCCGCCCAATGACCAGCTCTCTCCATTGGCTGGGCGGGCGGAACGGACTGTTCCATCTGGCCTCAGACACCTCACTCAGGAACCGCTTCTGCAGTAAGCCACTGTTAAGGTCAGTCCGTTTTCTACACATTTGGTTGCTGCAAAACCTTACAAACTTTTCAGTCTTGATCATATTTAGTTCTATGAACCTATAATTTCACTTTTCTATATGTAATATTACAGCAAAAATCCATAAAAGATATATATATATCTATCTGTCTCACTATCCAATTTATTGTCTATCTTAGCTTGCACTCTGATGCTGGGGTTCAGACGGTAACCCGCAATTTGCCTCTGTCCTGTGGTTCTTGGGTGCAGCAAATCTATATCAGTATCTGCTTAGCAAGTATACATGTAACTGGTCTTCAGCATAACACACTAGCTTTGCAGGCACTGAACAACCTTGTCACACTTACATGTGTAACATGCTATCTAGTGAGGAAGCACCTACTGTACTTGGTGCCATGCCAATGAGTTCTGATGATTTTATAAACACCACCGCCCCTGAGGCATCGCCAAAAAGGATATACAGTGGTAAAGAGAAGCGCCATGTGAAGATTTGCTCAGCCAGTGCCAGAAGTTTGCCGATGAGAGCCAGAGTCTCCCAGTCAGCAGGGACAGTGTTCAGGGCAGCCAGTTGCTGCAGGGCCTCCAGTAGAACCATCAACACTGTCAGCAGCTCTTTGTCCTGAGGAGGACAATAAAGACTAATGTTAACATTCATTCTCATCTTCATATAAGGCAGTGTACAACATGTACTGTATCTAATATCTGGATATGGAATTGTAAGATTTAGATACATGTATAGATTTGAACCTAAACATCTGGTGTATCTGTACCTGAACAAAATAAAACACTAGTGGGCACTATTCTTTATACTAAACATAGGTGACAATTCAGCCCTTGAATATCAGGAAAACTTATACCATAATATAATTGTATAAAATTACAGATATTTGGCCAAACTTTTTTAAGGTACAGATACAGATACAAGTCCAGGCTTGTACCTAAACCTGTGTACCTGTACCTTAAATTTCTTCCCTTTTGGTACTGAGCTCGAGTGGTTTGATGTAGATTAGGACTTGAACAATGGAATCTGAATTTGAGATCCAAAGGTCCAGAGTCCAGTATGCTGACTACTAGCCAGCAATTCTATCAGCCTAAGTTGAAGTACTTACTAACCTCAAAAATCTTTTTACAGCGCAAGTGAAATTCCCAGGAAAGGCCAAAATCTGTCCCTTTCCCGTTTCCTCCATACTCAGTCAGTAAAGCAGAGAGGGTAGACAGGCCAATAACTCGCTGCAATAAAACAGTAAGGGTTATAGACATTAACAATAATATCATCCTTAATTATGAGTTTTTTTTATAGCAAGTTCATGCCCAAGGGCTAATTGGAAGCAGACATTGAGAACAACAATGACTACAGAATGTAGTAGTACAAAACTATATGTTAACATGATAATAATGGCATCATACTAAAGGCCCTGTCACAGAAGAAACAAATACCCATGATTAACATGGTAAACATAAACAGACTCTGAGAGTAAACAAGGTAAACAAACAGCAAATACCCAAAAATAGTACATAAATACTTACTAATAAACAGGTAAATAACATAATAGATAGTAAATAAACATAAACAAAGTAAACAAACAGTAAACATGGTAAACAAGCAGTAAACAAACACATAAAAGTATATAAACATACTCATTAATAAGCATAGTTAATAAGCATGGTAAATACAAAATCTAATTATTCATTTATCAAAATCAAGCACTTCTGATGAGTATTTTTCAAGCACATTTTCTTACCACAGCGACATTGTCTGTGTGGATGAGTTTGGTGAGCTGGCTGATAAAATGGATCCTGTTGTCTGCAGAGGTGTCCAACGTTCCACGCTTCACAATAACTGCTACTGTCAGGAGGATTTCTTCACGTACATACACTGGCAGGCTTTCATGGAAAAAAATTAAAATATGATATTATAATACACTCACCACAAAAAGATTGAATGTGATGAATCATATTTCCATTATCAAATATCAATTGTAATGTATCATTGGAAAGGTTATTTACCACCCTTTACAATGATACTAGTACAATAAAATATCATATCGATTGTCATAATACTACATTCAAAGGTTGTAACTAGTCACTTAAATAGACATCAATGAAAATTTGTCTTGTCAAAAGGTTATTACTTTATTACTTTAGGTTATTATGATAGCTTTCCTTTTCCAGTGTGTGCACAGTTAAATGCAACCAAATCATTTCACAAATTTTTTAAATCCACAGAGAGTTAGACATGTACATCATTATGATTGTAATTAACATGAAAATACACATTGTTCACACTATACCTTGGCCGGTTGAGAACAAACTGCATGAGAAAGTCTCTGAGAGAGTGTACGTTAGGCAGCGACTGTTGTGCCCATTCCCGCAATACGGCTTCTTTTAACGTGCACGCACACTGGAATATCACATAGTCATTTCTGGTTTGTTCTGAAAAGAAGACAAACAAGAACATGAAGAATCTATTGATAATAACATGTATTTGCTTCTAAAAATGCATTTTCTTAGCAAATGGTAGCATAACTGGGTATTACAAGTTGTATAGCCAATATCAGCTTTTTTCAATTTTTTACGGCCTATGAAAATTAATGTTGTGTTTCCTATTACGGTCCTGAAAAAATAGAGTCTGTGATAGGGATTCACTTTTTTTTTTTTTTTACAATTTAGCCAATGTGATCCAACAAAATTATAGTGTACTGTTAACATAACACTAAAATGCATCAGTACACTGGTATTAATTTCTTTAGGGGTATCTTGATTCAGATCTGGTCCAGTGTACCAGTACGTAACACTATGTCAGGTCAAAAATTTTCTTCATCTTACCCATTAAAGAACAGCAGATGGAATACGGAGACTTGGTCTTGCGAAAGTCCAGGAGAAACTGTTCGGCTGCATGTCTCTGTTCAGCTGAGGGGGAGGCCTGTATGAAACAAACAGGAGCGAGTAGAAACAGGGAAACCCCTAACTCCCGGGATACTGGAACCTGCGCCAAACCTAGGTAGCCAGCTTACGACACCAGCGTGCTAACAACTGTGCTAAAAGGACCAGACCTTTTGCCTTTTCATTTTGGAATGGATCTGTTAGCGACACTTGGTCCTCACTGTTAACGTTACATGTACACAAACAAATATCAGGGAAATGTCAAGGGTTTAGAGCTGCATTATGTAACATTAGGACGATAGAAAACGTAAACTTTCTAGTCACATCTTTACAAAGTAAGTTGAATCAACCCTGTAAGTAAAATCATGTTACACGTAAATTGTGTATGGAGGGGGGCACTGAAGTATAAATACTGTGAGCGAAACTCAAGCGAAGAAAATGAGCGCCAAAAAATTCAAATTATTACTTGCCTCCATTTAACTATAGATCCTAGAATATATCGATTAAATGTTATCGATTAGAATAATTCTTCAGTATCACTATCAGAGTTATTCAGGAATGGAACAAGCTACCACCGGAGACGGTGAATCAGACGACAATAAACAGATTCAAGAGCAGTATCGACGAGTACATACGGAAGAAGATGACCATAGGAGCTACTAAGGGCTATCCGCCTTCTGGCTCCTGATTTGCAGAGACAAATTCAGGTAAGCTGCCCTGTATGATTTGGGGAGGGGGGCATATGGACACGATTTCCATGAGATCCAAGCTACGAGGCAAAGTCTACCGCAACTAATTTCGAGAAAATAAACTTTACCAAAATGGCGTTAGACGCTTCTTCTAACTTCTGGAGGAGGTTTGAGTCGATTCCGTGTCCGTCTGGTTGTCCTGGTTGTAGCTGAACCGCGCCAGAACTCAAACCGGCCATACTTCGCCGATCTTACTGACTGGCGTGTAGGAAAAGTAAGGATGATACCACTCTGGCGGAGGGGTATTCACGCAAATTGTTTGTATTCAAGCTTTCTAAAACACAAATGTAACAAAAATGTTGAAATATAAAAAGTAATTTAACGCAATAGATTTACAATTGAATGGATTTTTTCACATGTAAGTTGTCAATTTGTGTCTTATTATGAGTTTTTCTTTTATTTTGGCACTGCAAATCATACTGGGCGCGTCTGACATCGCCCCTTGAGTCATCGAACCTGATTACTCCTCAGTGCTTTTTTATGTCCGCTTGTCGAGTACTGCACAGAATGGATGTTTTTCATTCTTCTTTAACACCCATGGATTGCTTTCATATTCCTGCATTTTTCGTTGTATGACTAATCGCGAATCGATGAGAAATTGTTGGATGAAGTTTCTAGTAACATAACATGCGAGTTCAGAAAGCACAAACATGAGGGGATGAATGAAATACAAAGTACCAAATACTAACATAGTGCAAATTTATATGTCAAGTTTATTGGTTCATTTAGAGATGCACAGTGGTATTTTCCCCTGATCTACAAAATATTAAGCTCCTTGCTCAGACTGTTCAAGATACGAATTAACTCATACTCAATGATGTTGATGTCAATAATGTCCTTGCTCATAGCACTAAGATGTGGACCCTAAGATGTCACGTTTTTAAAACATGAACCCACCAGTCTTGTTGTAAATATCAACAAGAAAATAGACCCCAAGTTCTCCCACAGTCCCAGTCGCAGAAAGTTCCATGTTTGTACAAGCAAAATATCCAAGAATAACAAACATGTAACGTTATAGTGTCTTCTCGGGTTTACCGTAGTTTGGTGTTTGACCCTGCGATAGCCTTTCAACTTTGTTCCCAAAGGTGACCTCTAGTCACAGATCATACCAGTTACTACCGGTAACCTAGACGTACGCACACTCAGATCGAAGGACACTCAGGACGAACAGACAACAGCTAGAGACGTCTTCTACTCTTCCCCGAGTCTTCAGGGTTCTTGTGTCGCGTGAGGGAGCGGTGTTGTGAGGTTGTGTGGACGCTATGGCTGAAGAGGACTGCCGGGTGTTGTTGGTACAGAGCCACGTGGTGTCCGGATACGTGGGAAACAAATCTGCCGTTTTTCCCTTGCAGGTAAGATTTAGGATAGGTAGACGAGGCTAAACATGCGTTAAACATGCGGTAAATTATACTCATATCCATAGACATCATAGGCTCCATTGTGTATACTAAACGGGCCCGTTAGATGAAATGCGAAGATCGCTTCCGGTGGTTTCGATTTTTTTTTTACTCCTGGATCACTACTGGTGACCACCAGATTACTCACACACGTATGACGTTATATAATAGTTATATCAACTGGAAAAACTGGTTGTTGGTGACATAACAGAGTCACTGACTGGATATGAACGGGGTCAAAGCCATTTTTGTTATTATATTAAACTCTGGAAACGCCCTATAAACGCCATTTGTTGTAATGCATTCATGAGCTAATAGATCAAGTAGACACAAGCCACATGACAGGTCGTTGGGAAATGTGACCTTTGCAACTTCTTATCTTGGTAAATTATGCAACTTAACAAATCAGGGCTTGGGTTACAAATGGGCCTTAAGTACAGGAATACACCATAATAATATCATCCACCCGGATGTACATATATTTGAAAAATTCCTAAATTTAACAAAAATTACTAGTATGTTCAAACTTCAAAGTATTCACTGTCATTCTTTTATGCAGGTTCTTGGGTTTGAGGTGGATTACATCAACTCTGTACAATTTTCCAACCACACAGGTAAGTTATCAATATTAGCGTGCTCAAACATTACTCAATACTTTAGTTCATATTATCTGACTTTTTTTTGAGTTCTTATAATTATAATGCAGTAACTGATACATGTATAATTTTATGTACAATCATGTTACAATGTCACAATAAAATTGTTATTCATTTCCCACTTTTGTAGGGTACAAGAGTTTTAAGGGTCAGGTTCTGAATGCTGATGAGTTGAGGGAACTATTTGATGGCCTGAAGGCCAACAACATCAACAACTACAGCTACCTGGTTACTGGTGAGGAGCAGGGTTAATTTCATCTACAAACATATACTATAGTAGTGTTTAACTAGCAATGGATAATACATTAGAAATCGTTTGCTTTATTGAAATTCCTTGATGTATTCTACCTTTTTATATTTCTGTCGAAGTGCAGTTGTCAACACAACATTGTCAGTACAACAATTAAAAAGTCATTAGATTTACTAAGTACTAGTACTGTGTTTTTCCACTGTATCAGGGTACATCGGTTCTGTGTCATTCCTGGAGGGGGTTCTTGAAATGGTGAAGGAATTCAAGAAGGTCAAGCCAGACCTACTGTATGGTAAGTTTATTACCTTCGCCAAGAAGGTTATGTTTTCAGAGGCGTTCGTGTATGTGTGTGTGTGTGTGTGTGTCTGTCTGTCTGTCTGTCTGTAAACACGATAACTTGAGAAGGCCTTGATGGATTGTCTTGATACTTGGTAGGTGGGTAGGTCTTAATGAGACCTCAAAATGATTAGATTTTGGGCCCCCTAGCAGCTTGTTACGGTACTGCAGCAGAACTTCCGGTTTTGATATCTCATGATCTAGACATGCTAGGGTGACGAAATTCAGATGGCACGTAGCTCTTGTGCTGGGAAAGAAGTGACGTGAGTTTGGGCCCCCTAGCGGCTTGCTCTGGAACTGTAGGGCTATCTGTTTGAATATATTCAAAAGAGAATAACTCAAGAACCGGTTGACGGATCATCGTGATTTTTGGTATGCAGGTAGCTTACGTGATGCTTAATATAATTATGTGACAATTATGCAAATATGGATGTAATTTGCATAATTTATGGAGAAATTCTATAAATCAGCTGCATTCCATCATAGGACTATTGAAGCTTGTCGCATTGGTAATTGAGAACGAGATAAACACAGGCAGATATTGATTATGTAAATGAGGACTTAATTTGCATAATTAATGAGAAAATGTTATAATTCTGTAATGATAACTGCCTGGAATTTCATACTTATGGTCTTTGAAAGTACAGTGAAGGTGAACATCATTAAACATAATGTATTCAAATCAGGACCACATTTGCATAATTTATGAGGAAATGCTAGAATGGCATTGTTTGTTAATATAAGACTGTCTTTTGGTTGAGAATATGATAAACTGATATAATTCATGAAAATGAGGATCCTATTTGCACAAGCAGGGGGAATAATCTATCATTTGTCAGCCATAAAGATTAACATCATTTGGCGAAGGTATGAGATCGGGGAACTCTAGTTAAGTTTGTTACTGTATTGTCATTCTTCCTTCTTTTTGTACAGCTGTAACCAGCAAAAATGATCAGTAGTGTCATAAAAGTAACCCTTCAACCAGTCACTCATGTCTGTAATAATTGTAGAAGCCAATATTAACCTTAAGGTTTCAAATACTTCTAACTTTTTAAACCTATTTTATTTCTGTGAAATACTAGTAACTTTACTATTTGTGCAATTACACTTTGCTGGACTGTTGACCAGGCTATTGATATTGTTCCAGTTATGAATTAAACTATGTGTTTTTGTTGTTTAGTATGTGACCCTGTGATGGGAGACAGAGGCTTTATGGTAGGCGGGCTGAGCTCTTCTTCAGATAGCATATATATGCATGCATGCATTCTTGTCATCATGATCAATAGATACGGCAATAAGCCATGTTTGGTCATCTGCCCGATGTATTATCAAAAAGTATTGTGCTATCAGAAATATGTATTAGAATTGCTGACATTCTGCTTGCCTTGATTATGACTTTAGAATGATTATCTTGGAGCTGCAAATTAAAGATATAACATCTACAACTTTTTTTAAATACTAGTAGTTACTTGGTTTGCTTTGAAGGGAGTAACAAGTTGTGAGTGACCCCTCTGCCCCCCTCCCCACACAGTATGTTCCCAAAGAGCTGCTGCCTGTGTACCAAGAGAAGATCATCCCTCATGCAAACCTCATCACACCTAACCAGTATGAGGCTGAGTAAGTCTGTTTGTTGGTTTGTTGGTTTATCACAATAGCCGCTATTGTAGTATGTAGCAATTCTCTATCTGTATCTGTATAGCCGGTATAACCGTCCTTCGGCGTAACGCACGCACTGACATGAAAACAATCTTAGTTTCTTTGCACTTTTCTATATTCTTTTCATAATTTAATTGAAAAGATACGTTGTTACTTCCATGTTCATAATCCTGCCCGGTAGAAAATAAGACCACCACAATGACAAAAAGAGGTTTTGTCAAATACAATGTATATGGATATCTGAAGTGTTCATACAAGTACAGTACCTCAAAATTACTCTGTGTTGGTGTCACAATCAGGTCTACATGTTCATTTTATCACCTAAGCTTGACTGATTTTGTCAGTCTAATATTAACCTTATGACTGTAACTTTCCCTGTTGTTAGGTTGTTGACTGGCATGAGTATTAAGACCAAGGCGGATGCTATCCAGGCGATGGACATGTTCCATGAGAAAGGTGTGCAGTCAGTGGTCCTGTCCAGCTGTGAGTTTGACTCCAGTGATACCCTGGTCCTGCTAGGCAGTCAGATCAATGGTAAGGCTAGAAAAGTAACATTTGCAAAGCAAATGCATAATGTTTACCTTCGCATATGGTCTGCTCTGTTAATTCTTACTCTAACGCATTCACATATATGGTGAAAGGAGTCTAAATCCCTCCTACTAGAAAATTGCAACGTTATGTAACCCATCACCAGTGACCATGGTGAGAGACGGTCTTGAACAGGTCATTGACCAGGTCAGAGGTCACTGTTTGGAGAAGAAGAAGAAACTGAGCAAAAACAATTTATACTAAGATACATACTTACACTTACAAAGGCATGAAAATTGGCATTGAAGTTTTTTTTCTATCATACTTTTTTAGCTATTGCTTGTTTTCTAGAACTAGATTTTAATTAACAGAAGAAACCAAGGATTTCACACTTCTGTAGTATTCAGAATGCAAGTTGTTGCAAGTTGTTTCCTATTAATGATTATTGAGCTTCCTACCATTTGACCTCCAATTTGACCTTCCTATCAGTCTGTGGTTACACCATTCCCTCTCACTTCCTGTTATTGTAGCCTCCTAGGAAACCATTTTACCTTTAAAGTAGATATGATGTTAACATGTTATGTACAAATTGTTGTTATTCCAGGTGGTGAGAAGAAGAGGATTGAGTTAGAGATGCCCAAGTTGAACCTGAACTTCACCGGCACAGGTGACCTGTTCACGGCATGTCTGTTGGCCTGGGTGCACAAACATCCCAAGGACTTGGCTGTAAGCTTAAGTCACTTAAATCTTCTTTCGCTGTGTCAACGGTAGTTTTATGCTTGCATCAACTCTCCACATCATGATAAAGCACATGTAAAAGTTTTGTTGAAACCACATAAGACCACTTGAAACCAACATGCAACATATTTAGCAGTCACAATTGCATTTTTTGAAGTTGCAATGTTCAACATAAGAAGGAGGGTGTATATTAGATGCAAATGCCTTTGAAATTGTTGAAAGACACTGTCTTTCCTTATTTTCTTTTACTAAGATACACCTACAGATGCACCTCAATGTCATATATACAGAGAAGCACTTGCAAGATGATAACCAACACACAGTAAACCAGGAATAGTGAGTGTACAATCAGAACTGAGTGAGAATTATTTTACACAAATTTCTGTTGTCTTGCTGTATTGTTGCCATTCCTTATGGATTGTTTATATCATGTTGCAGACTGCCTGTGAGAAGACCATCGCCACAATGCAGGCTGTTTTACAGAGGACATTGGATTATGCACGAAGTAGGTTGTTTCTACCTTTATGATATTACTGAACTGCTTTCCATCTCAACAGCTCTGCAGTACTCACTGTAACTGATAGGTGGCAGTCCTAACCTGAGGTTTTGAATTTTTGGCCATGTGTGGACATAAATGTAGTCGTAAATTTGTGCTTCAGGAGTGGCAGGTGAGGGTAACAAGCCGACGGCCGCACAGCGAGAGCTTCGTCTCATCCAGAGCAAGAAGGACATCGAAGAGCCGTCGGTTACAATAAAGGCCAAACCTCTTTAACCCACAACAAACATGTAGATATCTGGCAGGGCTCAAATAACAAACATTACCATAGCATGTGATAAACTGAGATATGTAAATTTCTTCCCTTATAAATTTTGACATTAGAGATGTCATGAGCAAAAAAAAATACAGATATCAGGGATTTAACTGTTAATTACACATAGAGCATTACTGGCTGATTGGAATTTGGTTCCTTTTGAATTTGAAACCACATTAATATTTGTCAAAATTTGTAAGTTCTGATGCCAAAGCAGTATCTAATTTGTAAACTGGACTTTGAATGTTACCTTGGTCAATTGTATAATATTGTGGCATTGATAATTTAATGGCAATCTATTACATTTGTATAACTTATGATTATGCTGGGCACCCTAAGACTTCCAAATTGAAAAATATATTATGTAATCATTAATTAATCAATAATTATGAACTTTTTCTATCTGTGGTTGAAGTTATCACTGTTTGAGCCTTGCCAAGATAAAGGTACAAGTAAATATCAACAAAATACTGTACCTGCAGGCTACACATAAACCAGGGGCCAGAGGGCAAGACATTTGCCAACAATAGATAAATGTTAAATATACTATTCCTTGAGCTTCAGTTTAGAGTATTTTAGATAAAAAGATGTAGGAACAAATGTCTATAAATCGTGCTATGAGTACCGATATGGTAGGAAAGTCTAGATTGGACCCTACTGTCTGGCATGCTTGAAAAATGTTGTTAATGTGACCAATCAGCACCTTCCTTCTTTTTTTAAAACTGGAAAATTGTGCATCCATCTAAATACTTGAGTAAGAATAATCCCAATTGACCAGAAACTTGGAGGTAATTTTTGCTTGATAGCATTCCTCAGGATGAATAGTTTTAAAGACGCACAAAAATGCAAAAATTGGAATAATATTTTAAAATTTTGATTCTTGATATAGCAAACATTGCAAGAGGTGAAGCATTAGTACAAGAAAGCACACACTATTGTGCACTTTACAACATAAAAGCCCCCAAAGCCAGTAATACATAGATGTACACTACTTTTTCAGATTCTTCTCAATTTCTTTTTGCAAATCTTCACTCTGCAAAGTCTTGTGCGTTTTTCTGTGCAGAAATATGAAATGGAGTGTCCACGAGGATCTACATGTGGGTTGGGAGTAGACTGGAATCCAGCAAAAGTTTGATCACAGAACATGAACTTTCTGACTACACAGTGTACTTCCAACTGAAATTCTGGTTGATGCAGAGGACGTTTAGCATAAAAATTATGCAAATGTTGCTGACCAACTCCCAATCACAGATAGCCTTGCTCATGACTAGCTCCTACCTTGGTCTAGGGCAAATTGGAAAATTTTGTGTGGTCAAGGTGTGACAGGCTTTAGTCATAAGAAGGCGTATTCACAAAATGATATGTTTCTCAAGACATATTTTCCTGGCTACAGAAATATTCTTGAATGTATAACTCGGAAAATGTATGTATCATGGTGATGTTAAAGTTATTGGTGGAAGGTTCTCTTAAATAGGTGCAGTTTATGAATAATGAAATGTGTGAAGTATCATGTATTTGACTTGATATTATTAAAGACTGAAGTCATGGTGTGTGCATCTTACATTTCATCATTGACCACCAGTAAGAATTATAGAATATTTTAACACATCCATGAAATGTGCAAAAACACAACACAAAAGAAGAACAGAAGTTGATGTCCAACTTACCAAAATTTTCTTACTTGAATATCACATACATGTACCACCAAAGAAACATATTTTCTCATTCTGGAAAAATGGAAACATTGCATATTTGCAAATTTCTCGTACTTGAATCATTTGCACTTAACAAAGTTACTTACGAAAAAAAATTTGACAAAAACACAATGTAACTATAACAAACGACTAGTCTTCAATTGGTCTTATCATGACCTGGATGGAAAAAATAACAAAGTACATACTGAACATTTAAAAATCTTAGTTTAAAACCACATCTTGTGTATTCGGTATATAAAGTCTAGTACAGTCTTCAAACAGATATGCAACACCGACATCAACAACAATCAATAATTCCTCTAATGGGTTGACTGAAGAAATGCAACAATTCATCACACACTTCACTGCAGTGTACACGACCTATATCAATGCTAAATATTATCGGTATAAAGTTTTGTTTAGCAAATTCGATTCATTTTTATCCTTGCACACAATGTTCATATTGTCAAAAACGATATAAATGACCCCGTGTTGTCAGTCTCGATAGTCCCAGTGTTCTGTGTTTGATGGCCATTGTTGTGCGCCACGTACTATATTCTCATCAGCTTTTTGATTGGTTGAATAATGGTATGATCTCAAGTTGATTGACAAATGGATCGGTGAATATACATTATCAACCTTCATTGGTTGATTGTTGAGACCATCATAATGATTCATTGGATGGTTATTGAGACTCATCAACATGTCAGTCACAGTTGATTGGCTGTACGGTTGTACGCCGCACGGCTGTGTCTTGATTGGCTGATCAGCGGTAGGGTCCCATGTTGTCAGTGTTAATTGGCTGTACAGTAGCACGTCGTGCGTTAATTGGTTGATCAGCGGTAGGGTCCCCATGCATGTTGCCAGCGTTGATTGGCTGTACAGTTAAACGCCGTGCGTTGATTGGTTGATCAGCGGTAGGGCGCTATGTTGTCAATGTTGATTGGCTGTTCAGTTGCACGCCGTGTGTTAATTGGTTGATCAACAGTATGGTTATCAGCGTTGATTGGATGTACAGCTGAACACCGTGCGTTGATTGGTAGATCAGCGGTAGGGTCCCATGTTGTAAGGTTTGTTCATCTGTGGGAGGTACGTCCCCAGAGTTGCTGCGTACATCTCCTCACGCGACATAAACGTGTCCTGTCGCTCTGGACCATACACCGGCTCTGAAGGCACAATTTCCATGTACTTGGCTTTGCCATAAATGGAATCCATCGTGTTTCCTCCCCGTCCACCTGAAATGTAACAATACCATCTTTGATTCCAACGTCATAGTAAGTCGTTAATATTACCATATGGCGCTATGGAGGGGTTTGATAGCGCTAAGGATTTCAGGCCGTATGTCAACTTTTAAAACTGTTCAGCACTCATTTTGTAGATGGAAGACATTCTGTTCACATCTAAACCTCTGGGATGTTTAAAAATGTATTCCATCGATAAAGTCATAGCATGCAGAGTTTTACGAAAAGTCGATTAAGTAACTACATACTTGGTAGACTTTGTAATGGCTGTGGAGCTATATGATCTTTGATATACAAATGTATATTAACCGTACGTACTTAAGAGTGAAGTACTCCTACCGTAAGTATATCCAGCAGCAGACGGGATGTATCCCTGCGCCTCTTCATACGGCCCGCCTGGCGGTATCAGTCCGCGGCTTCTGTACATCTCGTTCCGCTTCTCCATCTCGTACCCGGCGGCTGTGCCCATCAGACCCTTGTTGTGCAAGTTCTCGGCGTAGCTGGACGGCGTCATGCCGCCGCCGTTCTGCCAGTAGGAGGACGCCGCCGCCTGGTTGAAGGCCGGCATGGCCCCCGTGTTGCGGTACGACATCGCGTCCCCGTACCTGGCACCCTGCGGGCTACTGGAGAAGGCGCTGACAGAACTGTACGGGTCGTTATAGCCTGAGAACTGATGGTAGTAGTCTATCCCTCTCTCAAACGCGCTGGCAGACGGGGAGGGGTAGTGGTTGACCGGAGTGTAGTGAGGAAGGGAGGCGGAGGAGGGGAAGTAGCCGGGGAGAGACCTGACGGTAGGGCTGACCTGGTTCCCGCCGTAACCGTTCGTCTGTGGCCGGGAGAAGGCCGTCAGACGTTCCGCAGGTACGAGGCTGTTCAGATCGGTGGACGAATTTCTCCCCACGACGGTTTGGTCTGGAGCATCGTTTGGAGCCTCTGCAAACAATATAACAATAAGCTGAGCGTTAAAACAAATTTCTTCATAGTTCGTGCCCCAAAATTACTTTGACAATCATTCTATTAAACGCATTGATTTTTGCATGGCTTGTCACAAACACTGGTAGCATCGCTGATTTAACGTTACCATATAAAAAGACAAACATAATACTTGTACCTCCGGAGTTGACAGCCCCTGTCTCTGGTTTCCGCTTTTTACTCTTCTGCAGTCCGTTTGATGAAGGCGTTTGGCGAACTTTTGGTTTGGTGCTGATTTCACCTGCAATAAGATATAGAAGATTTCACATCTCCGCTGTTGCGAATCTCGTTTTGTGAATCTAGTTTTATTAATTATTGCTCATTCTGTGCATATAATAATTTGTACTGCAACTTCATCTCAAAAACAACTTATTTTCCAAGTCTTTGCACTTTTACACAATCACTCGTCTTTAACCAAATCAACCTCATGGGTAATATAGATATTATACTATATTCAACTATATGATTATTATGTGAAAACTATCTGTAGACTGGAGTGTATTTTGTGCATCAAACGTACCCGCTGTCTTCATGTGCCGTTTGAGGTTGTTGAGTAAGTCAACTTCCATGGTGTTGGCTTGTTGGGTCTCCACGACCAAGTACACATACTCGTCCAGCATCATATGGAGCAGATGGAACGAACCTACACACAAAGTAAAAGCAAACTTAGATCTAACAGCATAAACTCCATTTTATAATAGTTTGCGTAGACTAATGTTAGTATGTGCTAAACAATATCTTGCTGGTTGATTCGTTCACTGCGCTTAGAGCACCTGGTCGTTAAGTACCAATAGCAGCTCAGGATTCTTTATTACTATGCAAGTCATTCAAAACAGCCTGCTCCCGAAGCCTGGTAGAGGCTAGCATAAATCAACAAAATTAGGGATGTTTCTATTTTTTACTAAAGCGACTACTCTGTCCAATAGTCTATTAGTGAGTTATAGAATGTGTTAATCTGATTTGGCATTTTAACGTACCGAAACTTGGCGCACTCATCAGCGTGAGATCTCTCATGATCTTGGACGTGGTGAAGGCCCACTGCAGGAGGAAGTCCTGCGCTCTGTCCTCTACTGTCTGCTCCTTCTGCCGTGATGGCTACAGATGAATAAACAAGATATCAGAAATTTCAGACATCTTTGGGGGCCCCTCATGCAATCCTCGTGTATTTGAATAATATACATTTATTTGCAGTATTGTTTGTCACCGTAAGAGGGCAGCCGGTATCGGTGTCTAGCGCCTATTTAAATTTTGCCCTCCCATTCTCATAGTGGTAAATAAAAAAAAAGAAGCTCACCTTGAGGACACACCTGTCCACCACACTGTCCACCCACTCTGTGTAAGCCTCCACTGGTGCCTGTTTCCTCATCAGACCCTCAAACTCATCCAACACTGTTCAACACATAAAGGGTACATGTAACGTCATTACGTAAATCAGGTCCCATACAACATGCACATTAAAAAACTGTTATGGAGGCCAACCAAACCAAAGTTGCCAACGCAAGAAAAAAAATCACGAATGTCCTGTAGCTTTCTTTCAGTCATCTTACAAGCTATGATTGTCCAAAAGCTATTCAAAGATAGTAAAATGTTGAATTGTATTCCAACACAAAATTACACAGAGATCAAATTTCTGTCGGCTTCATCAGGATACTAGCAATGAATGACCAATCACTTCAAAACGTAATCTCGCGGGAGTAACGGTTACAGACACGTGACCCTATGCTATTCACACGAGACTTTACTGATACGTGACGTAAGCAATTGATCAAAGATTCAGCTTTTGAAAGATGTGGGACTCACGTTCCTTGGACAGCCTGCCCTGTGTGGTTCGCTGGTCGGGTGAAGGGAACATGGCCTGGGACAGGATAGTCCTGTGTTCCAGGTCGTGCAGGTCTGTCACCATCTGTGTGATGTTGTCGTGATTCAGGAGGACTGTCCTGGCAGTCTGAGGAAAGACAGGACGACTTTCTTCATTGGATAATATATTTATATATATTTGAAATCAAGCATCGAGATTCCTTACGAACACCTACGAAAAGGGTGTTAGAGTCACCGAAACGAAAAAAAAATCACTCAAATACTGAAGATAATATACAGGGGATGCATGATGTACAAAACAATAAACAAGTGGAAGAGATATCAACTATCATACTGGCTACGAAAAGAATAAGAAATTGCCATGCCTTCAAAAAACCCCATCAACCCATATGGGGGTGTTGAAATATTCAATTTTTAACCAGTTCTTTTAATTTACTTGATCATGACAATTGAGAAAATAACAAAAGGACGTTTTCAGGAATAAAATACAATGCAAACCAACCTGGGCAAGATGAACAAACGATGTTTGTCTTCTTAGTGACTTGATGAAATACCTCACAACTGGAAAGGCACAAAATGTATGAGACTTAACATACCGTAGATAAAATAAGTATATCATATTCACCATACACACACACTGGAGGCTACTATTGGATAAATGTCATAGCCATGACTAATTTATTTCAACTCTCTCAACCATTGCATCATTTCCCAAAACACTGAATAGATTCACTTTTCGATAAGGTCTCACAGTACAGTTTCTAGATCTCACCTTGAAGTTTCTTCTCCTTGAGTTTCTCTGGAATGTCTTCCATGGAGTTTCTCACCCAGCCAGGCAGTCTTTTGGCAAACAAGCGGACTTCTGTACTCAGACTGGAGAGGGGTTTTGAACATGTGAAACAAAGTTATAATTACATAATCACTGCATAGTGACCAGCTACAATGCTATATTGAACCCTTTCCATATAGTTTGATGTCATTCATCTTTTAAGCTATGAGATTTTGAATACGGGAAGTACCAACTTAGTAGTACGAGATCAGGGTTTTTTTATCATGTGAAAATATGTTCATTTGACTCAGGAGTCTCTATCAGCAAGGAAACCAGTCACTGCAGGCTCCAAAACACTGCAACAAACAGTTATCAGTCTGATAATAATTGTTTCATGTCAGCACCTACTATTAATCTGGTTAGGATATTTATAACTCTACGCAAAGTAATATATTTAGTCAAGTAATCTAACCTTTCCGGAAGATCTTGAATCGTTGATGGAATGAGAATATCGATCAGCACCTGGGAATCAAGGATAAAATGAATGTGGTTTGAAAGAATGGATGAATAAGTGAATGAATGAATGATCTGGTTTACCTAGTTTTATTAACTTTTTTGCATATTTTAGGACGTACAGTTTCCCACCAAGTTTGTTCTTTTGCAAATTTATAGGGAAATTCAAACGTGCATTATAAACCATGAATAGTCTTTTTGCCAATTTGGTTTAACTATAGTTAAACATAAACAAATATAACCTTGTACAAAATGGAGTCGCAGAGCCCAACAATGTCCATGATGACGTCAAGTTGCAGCAGCGCCACCAGGTGTTCAGGCATGCCCTGCCAGAAGTGCAGCAGGAAGTTCTGCACCTGCGCGAACATGTGTACATCACATGATGTTTGTTTGCACTCACGTGACTATGACGTATTACTCGCCATGCTGGATGGTTGATGGGTACATTTGAATTTTGTATATGTAATAACAGTGACATGATTACGAAATATATGCATTCAAATCAAGGACGTTATATGATATAACGTCCTTGTTCAAATCTAGAGGACTGACACCTTGAGGATTAACCAACCAAAATGGCGGCTATGACGTCACTTGAAAACGCTCTACGGATGAGCTGCCATCGAGGAAGAATAAAGTATTTATTCGACCGAATCAAAGAGTACTTCATATGACATTTAAGTATGGATCGGCCTTTTCTTCTTACCTCGTCAAAGTTAGCGCTGATGACTGTGTCCAGTATCCTCTGACAATGGGTACGGTACATCATAATAAAAGTCTCCACCTAGCGAGAAAGAAAAATACCGCAATTGCTTTAAGAAACAATTTGTTTTATGTTACAAAAATAATATAAAATCTACAAAACTTACTTAAATTCAACTGACGTCATGATTCATTAGCAAACATATTGTCATTATATTTGATAAAGGAGAGAGGGAGAGAAAACAGCGCGTCATTGTATTATGAAACCAGCCCGGCTTTTGTCAACTAAAACGGTTACACTTAGAGAAGTCACGTGAATAAACCAACCGCTGTCATTGGTCAAGACAATGATTAGATTTTGCCCTAAATAAAGGCATTACCTTTTCTCTATCGACGTCATCTGGAAGCACGAGGTTCTGTGAGTCTGGAAAGTCGGGGAGAAGAGTGCCGGTCTTGGAGCTCAGGGAGTATTTCCGACTTGAGCCCTGTCAGTCAAATGTAAATACAGATAAATTCAACAATGGTTTTATTCCAATGATTTCCTTTTTAGTCACTTTTAGGATTAAAATTCTATACTGTAGCAACACTTCACAACCTTTTAATTGAATATATAAGTATCCATTACCACATTGAAATCAACGGCAGTGACTACTTTTCTCTCTCTGTCACATATACATTACATTATTAGTTTCAAGTAGAAATTGAACCTTAGATTAGATGAAGTACATCTTTATATTGTTTTATACCATTCTTCAATACATTCTAAATGCCTTGCCAGTTTGCAATTAGCCCTCGGGCATATGAACTCACAATAAAGAACTTTCGATAACTATATTCACGCCATAGTTGTTGGTTTTGATAAACACTTTTTAATAAACAGCTAGGTGTACTAGTTTGAAATCTGTTAGGTCAATGAACTGGAATTCGATCATTTTCTCTGCCCGGTTAAGAACGATTAGCACCAGGCCTAAGGCATGTTGACACTCTGTTATACAACAACACACACACATTGACAAATGTGTCCACCGCAGTCACACCGTGGACGTGGCGTGCAGGGGATAGGTAACTAAGGTAATCTGTTAGTGGATATAGTAGCGGCATTTCTTTCAAGACCGGGCTTTGCAGATTTTCCACGTGCTTGCCACTTAAAGGAGTTGTGTAGCAACGAGGAGCGTTTTCCCCTTGTAATCCTAGTCATCGTTAGGCAACACGAGTATGTATGGGCGCTGTGTTTGTCCTGCCTTCTCCGCCATCGATTGCCGGGAAGGGACTTTAGCCGCGTGCCGGTGACAGGGCAATGTTGCCGGGGCGGCCGGTGTGAGAATGCCGCGTGTTGGGAGACACCGCCTAGCGACGGGTCCCGGGGCGTGAAACAAACCTCCGACGTTGCAGGTTTGGACTCCCTGTGTCAATTTGTTCTCGGTAAACATTCTTTCACAGCTACGGTATCAAAATTTTGTCGGCGAGGTCAGGGAAGGTAAAACAAAGGACAAAACATGACAGGACTTAAACGTGCCGCTTAAAAACATGGAAAAGCTTTTAAGCACTTTTAACACAAACTTATTCAAGATACTAACTTATAGCGTAAACAATAACAAAACTACAACAATTTCGCTTCGCAAAAAAAAGCCTTACCAAAAAAAACGTACATAAAAAATTCCACACTAGAAAAACTACAATAATGATAAGTTGAAAACTTGAGGCACATCGGCCCACTTGAAATAGCTGCAGGTGGTCTAAACAGTGTAACAACACTGATGCCTTTAACCGCTGAGTTTGGGCGGGTTATTTGCGTGTTTGTCGGAGGCTCACACTGTGTTGTTAGGTTTGTTTCCTTCCTGTGGCATAGCGACTATCAATGCCCGGTAACCGTGGGTGCTAAGAGACTAGAGAATGTCAACAAATGGACGAACAGAAGAGGGTCTATACACATGTCCGACATACCTCCGTCTTGATCTTGATTCCAGAAAACCTAGTTAGACAGACAACAAAATATAACGACAACTTGTTATACATAGGCGAAATTTTAACAACTAAAATTTTGCTAGAATACAACAAGTAAAGGAACGATGCAAAATGAAATGCGTCACACTTTCCCCAAGCAGCAACGTAACCATACAAATCGTGTTAATAATGATTAAGTCAGAATTTCATATTTTATAGCGTTAAAAGACATATCCAGCACCCGTATAAAATGTGCAATTCTTTCTGTCGAAATAAATCATATATAGCCTAGGAATCCTTAAAAGAATCCCAACACAATTTTTACCAAAAAGAGTGATGAGATGTAACTTGGTTGTAGGATCTTCATTTTCTTAAAAAAAATGTATTATGATATTGATATTAAATAAAAAATCATTCTTTATTAGTACGCTAACTGTTCACCTTGTGAGCCCCCGGCCGGAGTACACAGAGTGGTAGTAAATAGATGTTTCCTTGATGCCGATTCCATAGTAGTGATACCTGGAATAGTTATGGGGCGGTTTTAAATAAATGGACTTTAATTTATTGCTCGGCAATCGTGCACCATACTATGTATATCAACAAAAAAAATAATAAAAATTAACAATAGACAACAATTTCTAGACAATGTTGACTAATTCTCCCTTTTGTGATACCTGTAAACGGTGCATTACGAATTGACGCGAAAAATTATTCTATACCAGAAAATATATGTTTTTTACGCAAAGAAAAGATACCAGTGCAAAATAAAAAAGAAAGCCTGATTAAAGTCTAATAACACGCCCAAAATAAGCTTGAAGAATACATCGAGGCGGTTAACCAGATAGGCAAAACAAACAAGGGTTCGTGTAGCGAAAATCATACGCTCATCTGATATACATACTTTGATTGTCCTCTTGTTCCAAGTCTTCTGGTTGTCAGTTTAGGGAATTTCTGTCGTATAACCTAAAATGAAATACAAAAAAAGATAATGATAATTGTTAGAAGAATAATTGCAACGGGAAACGGTACTGCAGTGATCTTTGATACAGTACCAAGCATTTCAATTGGTTGCAGTTTTTACAACCACGTGCAAAATCAGACGGAACAAACCGAAATAAAATAGAACAAGACATGATAAAACGACCGACCTTTCCAAAACTTGCTGCCCCGGCCGGCGTGAACTTCATTTTCTTGCAGAAGTCCAGGTAGTGCGTGTAGAGAACACACCGCGGCAGACACACTCCCTCTGCCCGCTCATAGTTCTCAGTCAACCTGCCAGGAAACAAACTACGATTCAACATCTATAACAGAGATAGGTTTTTCTAACCTAAGCTCATGAGCTTTCCCCTTGCTCCCCTTCGCTAGGTTCCTCAATGTTGCATGGTCAAGAATCTACTGCAAGTCTTTCATGATCTGGTGGTGTTCACTGCTTAGGGGTCTTTCAACGCTTAACGTCGAGAAGCTCAAGCTTTGCAAACCAAAGAGAAACTTTTGGAGGTATGTGTTTGCCTTGAAGAAATCTTATCGGTAGATTGAAACATTTCTTTGCTCTGAAGTATTCATTTGGATGATCTCACAGGGTATGGTTTGTTCTATGTGTATACTTTTTCGAGTAAGATATTACTAAACTGAACATACATGTAAGATATATAGAGTTATTCAGAGGCTTTGGTTTCCGTGCGTCTGTGTGTTTGCTTGTGTCTCCATAGTTATTTCTACCTGCTTGTGTTTCCGTAGCTATTTCTACCTGCTATTGTAGACACAGATAGGAAGTCAGGTCAAAGGTCCCAGAAAGGCCACAGAAAGGTTATCTCACTTCCTGTCTTCAATATCCTGCTATATACATATCTGTTGCGTTATGGTAGATAGATAAAATGATAGATAAATCACGAAATAAACAAACATTTAGTTTCTTGATTTGTTATGTATTTTAATCCGTTATGCATGTTATGTATGTTCCGTGTGCACTCGTTTATATAGTTTTACTCGTTTTATAAAATATATGCATCATTAACAGATATCGATGTTTTTATACAAGAATGACTGACTAGTAGAACGTACAACACATTGATTGTAAATACATACGCAATTCAGACATAAACTTACGCAATTAAGACGTAAGTCAGCAATGTGCTATCGCAAAAAAGTTTCTAAAGTTTCTAAGTATGTATTATGTATATTAGTAAAAAGTCAATAAAACATGCTACTGTATAATACCTTACACTTAACTGATAAGTCGATTATACATAAGGAACGAACTAAAGGAAAGAACGAAAGATTCCGAAATAGAAGCCTGGATACCAGACTGTTTCCACGGATTACAGGCCAGGTCCTCAGTTCCATGGCGAACATGCCACAAGGACATACAGACAGCACCGAGATAAATATTTTAGAAATGTCTGTGGTAAAATTTCATTAGGGCATACTTGTCCTGAAGCCGAGGAGCTGGGCTGTGTAGGCCATGGAAACAATCTGACATCCAGGCTAGCGAAATATGGAGAACAACAACACGAAGGTTCTACATGACATTGTACATATAAGTAAGTATGAACACTCAAAAATGCTCCATTAATTTTTCCCTACCACTATAGAAAATAATTCTACTGCTAAAACCAAAGGACCCACGTATTATGTAAGAAATGGGTATATTAATATTCCGCTGCCTAAAAAAAAGAAGTTAAACCCAGCAAAACTAGTAACGCTACCACGTATGTTGTAGAATGTAGTATGATGTTAGACGTAGTCTCTTATATAATTGTGTTTTCTTTTTTGGACATGTTGTTTGTAACTGAAATTAGTCCTCGGGCATGTATTTGCAATAAACTTTCTTTCAGATTTTTAAGGAAAAAACTTGCAAGAAAGGTACTGACCATCTGAGAGTAGCTGATATCTGCGACTGCTTGATCTCGGGCGCGGGCTCGGCCTGGTCGGCAGACTCGCCGGGGTGGGCGGGAAACGTCTCCGGCATGTCTGGGGGGAAACAACGGTAACATCGGCTGGTGAAGCAGCGGTCAAATACGCCGTACGGTTTTCTCTGGTGCAGTTTTCAGACAGACTATGACAGAAAAAATGATCTACAAGCTTTTCTACAAGGAGTTACAAGCTTTTCAGCTAGCCGAATTTCGTCCGACATATTTTTGTTAACGTTTATTCAAAGTAGCATAATATACAAAGACAGATTGTGGCAAGCCCCTATTTCATAGTTACGTACATGTAGTGTTGATAAATATGACAGAGATTATTACAAAATGTACAGATGCTCGTCTCAAGCACATATGGGCCAAGGAAAAAATGTATAACACAAATGTGGCTTATTATTCATCGATACTCTTTTGCCGGCTTGCTTGATTTACCGTGCAATATTTCCATTTTCTGGAGAATAATAGGTTCTAAGAAGGTGTCGAGCCACCAGGAGCAAACAATCGTACCAATAACCAGTGACCCTAACATTCTACGAACAAGTAATCTAATATATTTATAAAGTTGCTTGTTGTTACAAAAAGAGCATATCCGACATATCTATGACTGTCTACAAAATGTCTGCAATTTGCTCTCCTAATCCTATTGCACTGCACACCATAGATTAGTTTAAAAAGTTGTAGAAAGTACAATTTCCTCACTTAAGATACTTAAACTGTAAGTAGAAATTCCTTACCTCCTCAATGAGTCAAATGTAACCAAAAAGCGGCATGAAGCCGAATGTAACAGTGATTATTAAATATATGTACATATCTATATGTTTGCTACAGCGACGAAATCGACATGAAATTTCACTCGTTGAATACAATATAACTGTTACGTTAATGAAATGTTGTGAGTTAATTGTACGGCTCACAACATCAATGGGGCATCCGGCAAAGGAGTTTTGTATAATATTTCATCAAATGTGGATCGGTATAATTCAAGGCAAACATTGTAAAGATTGCTTGTTGACAAAATTTCTGTTCTAAGAGCAATGTAAGCGTGCAACTACAGTGCTATTCTATAACGGAAGGCGCCATGTTGGATTTCTTGCCGGAAAGGTATTGTAATAAAACCTAATTTGAAACAAAAATGGCGGAACGAAGAACTAAAACAGTGCTGTTTCAATTGCTAAAAAGCCACTGCTTTCTTCATAAGTATTGTGCATTGCTATCTTTATTTTTACCATGCATTGTTGAATATCACAAACCATTCACAAATTCAAATCTCATGATTTCCAGTGGAAAATGAAACTATATCCACACTCAAGATGGCAGAACAACGTCGACAGTTGGAAAGTTATCCTCTGTAGCTAGGTTTATGAAGCTAAATGCTAAGAATAATCTGTATGTTTATCGAATTTATATATATTTAAGTGAATCGCATGAGATCACTTTATGTACGAAAAGTGTGGGACCCCTCGTATTATTTTTAGTTGTAAGACATAAACCACGTTGTTGTTTTATATATATCAGGCATAAATATGTAGGTTTCCTCCTTTTCGGCAGTTCATCTCGTACTATCATGCATTTACTGGTGCTGGTTGCACTGATGAACGAAAGAAAATGGCAAAAGGCGGTATATTGCGTTTTGTGAATACTTTATAAGCAGAATATCTGTTATAAGGCTACGGCTTTTAGATGTATGTAGTGAGATGCACGCGTTCATGCAAAAATGCATCGGCAGTCACACTCAAATGAAAAAAATCAAATATCAAAGAGGGAAAAACAGTAACATTGAAACAGTTGTCTTAAGTCATTGCTATGCTTTTTGGTCACACACTACATTTCTGTGTGTACATGTATTTCTCTGTTTCATTCTAAATTGTCTTGGTTGTTTATTACATTTTATTCTTAGGTGAGCCAGATAAATATTTTCTACATAAATTTTGGTGATC